TCTACAGTATTTCCCAAACACAAGCTTTGATGTGTCCCTCTCCATTCATCAAGCTGAATCTTTTAAAGTCTACTTCAATATTTCTGTTTCTCTCTATTTAATGCTTAAGAACATTAGGTCATTACTCATGTTTATGAATTCCAGTCATGAAGATAAGTGCTCAGATTTTTAGTACTATGGCAATGGTGAAATTGGATCTCAACTCATAAGATATTAAAGACCGTGCACACTGGGATAATTGAGGTGGTTCTCTACATCCCTTAATGATAGTTATTAATATTTGCAGTAAGCTAGTGTATTTTTTGTTTGTTTACAGACAAAATAAGTAAGAGTAACCAAAAAAGCTGCATAGGACTTCTTAGCTGTTTCATTAAGGGTCTGCTTTAAATAAAGGACTGAGTGATCTCTGCTGACTAACAGAAAAAAAAAATAGAGAAAAAATAGTTAACATTAAATTGTGTAAGTCTTACAAACATCTTACTGGTTCTAGTAAAAAAATAAATAAATAGAAATTCTAAGGAGAGATGTTCTAATTGTAAGCATTGCAGCAAAAACTATCTCCTACACTTTTAGTGAGGTTTAGCACACAATTTTTTCATGTGGATTTACGATTGCATTTACTTCTTATTCTGTATGTTGCATTTTCATAGCTCCATGTTGCAGAACTATACTTTTTTTGGTAATTTATTTAGAATTATCCCAAGTTTAGTTGTTAAACTCTGTAAACATGGTGTGAAAGCAGCTAAGCTGTATATATTTGAAAGAATTCCAGGTCATCTAATCACTTCAAAAGGAAAAATTTCTGCTTTAAGTTTGCAATGGCTTTTCAGGATGCCTTGCAGTTGTTTATGTGATATTTTTAGATCTATTATTTCCACACACTATACCTTACTTTTATTTCAAGGGACTGCAGATAGTCAAGTTGTGTCATGGAGTTGGAATGGTGAAAAGCAAAACATTCTTAAGAGAGTTTTTCCTCACCATTTGTGAAATCCCAAGCTGCCACTGCTATAATATCACAAGAATAAAATGCAGAGGGTATTTCTAACACCCATAATAGATAAGAGGTAACAGTTACAATATTTTTTAAAATGTGCTGTTTCCTCTTAAGTACATCAACTAAGAAATTTTCTAGTTTCTAAATGAATGCTGTCAGCTGCTCTGTTCCTCATAGTGATTTTAGAATTTCATATAGATATCATCAGAAGTCCTCAAAACTTAATATACAAATGTACTATTTCTCTTACTCCTATTTACGCATAATTTACTTGCTATTGTTTATTTGTTGCTTTTTTAATTCCACTGTATACAGATAAAGTAGACTTGATCTTGTTTATATGAGTATGAATTTACTTTTCCTGCCTATTATGTAAATCTGAGCAGCCTTTCCCCTTCTTTCTTTGATCTTTAGAATTTCCTGGCTGTGAGCAAGTGGAAGGGCTGGAGATGTAGACCTGAAAATGATTTTTGAATTTTAATTGGAATGAATCCCTTTTTATTCTAAATTTCCTTTCCTTTGTCTCCTTCAAGAAAAATCAAGATGAACTCAACCCTGAATTGCTATCTTTTCTAAGGGAAAGAATTCATGTCCTGGTAGTTATTCACAGGTTTTTTTTAAAGGTTCAATTTTACCAATCTGAATCTGAGAATACTAAAAAATTATCTGAGTCCAAGTGGTAAGATATCTACTGCTCCTGGGAGCTAATAGTCTCATCAATTACTCTAGTGCTATGCAGAATTGCTATCTCAAACCAGGCTAGTTTGGACCCATATGGCTTGAACTGAAGCTCAGAACAAGAAGAACTGATTGCTTCAGGACCAGTTTTGGGGTTTGATTGGGATCTGATTTTGGTGTAAAGTAGTACCAACTTAGCAGTGTCATTTTTTCCTGACTGTTGGCAAATGCCAATTCAGGGAGAAAAGCTCAAAGAAATAGAATTACTCTTTCACCCTGTGGTTCATCTGCATGCTGCTCAGTACAATAAGCCTACTAGAGTTCAGAGCTGAGCTAAGATAAGCTTTATCCTTTTAAAGTCACTGGATACATACTAGACAAATGGTGTTGAGGGAAAGTCAAACGTAATTGGCAAAACCTAAATCTGTGATGAGTGGAATGTTTGTAAAATATCAGGGCAAGTAAAGAGCTTGTAAGTAATCCTAATGCCCTACCACTTTGGGGAAAACATTGAATACCAAATATTGTGTATTTCTTTATTTTTTATGTTTTCTTAGATTTTACAATTTATTTTTTTAAATTGGATTAAGTGGGTTTTATAGTGTTCTTGCTAATAAAAAGGTCTGGCTACCCTTGTCTTTCTTTTTAAAGTAAACTACATTTGCTTTTTATATGGACTTTATGAGACTTCTGTGAGCGTCAGTGTTGCAGATATAATGAGCTTGTATGGCCATTTCAAATCAGATCATAGATATCATGTGACAAAGTAATTTTTCTATCAACACAACCTCAGAGAAGTTTATTTTGTTGTGCAAAAAAATAGGCACAGCTTGCAAAACAAGGTCAAAGTCCAATGGATGAAGATGGGACCAATTCCAGCCTTTCACTTGTATAAAACAAAGAAATTAACATGAGCAAAGAAGGATCTGAGATTAATTTTGTCTAAAACAAGCATCTCTTGATAGAGTAACATGGTCATTACAGGCTAATTTCCACTATGATTGGGTAATGATCTTCCTGGATTCCTGTTCCTAGGTTGTTCCTTGTTAAAATACTAAGAACTTTCACAGTCTTTTATTGAGGCTCACACTTTGCCTTATCTTTTTTGTGCTATCCAAAGGTATTTGATTATGCATGGTATTTGTATTTAATCCAAAGATTTTTATATGTTTAGGTGTGTGTAGTTATCTATATACAAAATTTTCTCTAAGGATTAAGTCCTAAGGTATGTAATCATCAGTCTCAGTCAGGTAACATTCAAAATTAAAATCAAATTAAGGTAGGCAGTGTAACTACTTTAGAATGATAGCCCTAAAATTTCTCTTAATATTTTTTTTACTTTAAAATGTTCATGCTTAGCATCTACTGTCTTCATTTTTAAAGATGGAGAAAGGACACACGGGAAGAAATTTGTAAAAAATTATGTGAAGTTTAAGTCAGTCTGCAAGTGTGAACTCTCTAAGGTGCCAAGTGCTGGTTCTGTGCCTTCATGTTTTGAGAGGACTCAATAACCTCACTGGATATACAGAAAAGGCTTTTCTGTAATGAGTTTCCACAAGTTTAATCCAATTGGTTTTGTTTGGATCTTATATCCACCCACAGATGCATGCAAGACAAAAAAACCCTCAAAACTAAACCAACAAAAGACAGCAGCCTTGCACTTGATTAAGGAAAGCCATCATATGGTGCCTTTGCTCTCATAAGCAGAATTCCAGTCCCAAAGTTCTGTGGGAAAACTGGGTTTTATTTAAATCTCAGTCTGGGGGACAGACTCTCCTTCTCATCTCAGAAAAATGTCAATGACTTAACTACAACTGCAGGCTAAAATGGGTTAGGGATATTCTCTACTCCTGCTGTTAATATTCTGACCACTTTGCAGTAAAGTACCTGTCTTCCATCTAAACAAATGGATGAATGAAACTTTGGTAAAGGCATTTACATTTTTATTCATACAAAGTATTTGGATAAAAATACAACAACAAAGAGGTAGCAACAGTCAGTGACTCATAACTGCTCTCCTTGTTCACTGTGTCTGTGGGAGAAGTTGGGAAAGCATTTTCTAGGATAACACTCCAGCTGTAAATCACAGAGAGAAGCAGACATCTCTCCTGCTCTACACGTTTAAGTCCTGTTTCTGCTCTCATTATTCCTTATAATTTTGCATGTGATGTTTAAAAAATATATTTGCCCCTTTTCAATAACCCTAGAAGAAATAGAACTGATGATTCTCAGCTTCTCTTCAGAGAAGTCCCACTGTATACAAAATCTTATTCTTGGTTACCTCTGGGGGGTACCTAGGGGCTCATTCATTCCTACCTGTAGGGGTTCAGTGAGACAGATGAGGGGTGTGCCTTCCCATCTTGTTGCTCCAGTGGCTATGGATTGCTCCTGGGATGTAAGGATTATGGCTTCATATTTCTCCATTGAGATTCTGTCTCTTCCTTCCTCTATATGAAGCTGTTATGGCAAAGGATATCTTCCTCCTCCAGTAATGTTTTATGAAAAAAACCCAAGAACATACTGATCACATATCTGATGTAGGTAGCTATTTACCGGAAATAGGTTTTTTCTGTGAGCATCCATCTCCCAGTGATGTCTTTTTCATGGAGCTGCTTAAGTAGAGGCAAGGGAAACCATAGGTTTTAACCTCCCCTCCCCTCCCTTCCATTCCTCTCTCTCTCCTCTCCCTCTCCTCTCACATTTGGCTGCTGGCATCTGAGCTTGAGCTTCTAGCACATGGTTGTGGTTTCAACTAGTTGACAAGCCTCCTTAAGAAACGGGAAATTTAACATTGCAAATTATGAAGACTTTTGTGGCTTGAACTCCAAGTTATTCTCCATTCATCACTCCAAGACAGCTTTGGCAGAACTGGATTGCTGGCTTGTGCTGTAAATGGTGGAATTAAAAATTCTGAGACTGCTAAAACCCTCTTTTGAGCACAGGGATTAATAACAGAACTGCTATTAACTGGGAGTGCTGTTTCTGTGCCACAGTAAAGAGACCAGCTTCTCAGGTACTCAATTATTCTGTCAATGTATTCCAGGTCTCTGGGCATTTCTCTTCACTCCTCTGTCTCTCAATCTCTCTCCTTTGCTGCATTTTCCAGTTCAGATTCCTTGAGCTCAATTCTGCTCTGGGACAAGGACAATGTCCTACTACAAATACATTAAAGAGTCCTGATTGCCCCCATTTTACACCTGAAACAACGAAGAGATTGAACCATAACACAAGACATTTCTGAAGGCAAACTGATGTGGAAAAATATTTGTATCTCTTATTTTTCTTTTTTACTTTGGTGACACATTGTTTTCTCTTGCTGTTTCAGACTTTATTTGAAAGGTCACAGTGGAACTGCTGGAAAACAGAGCAGCCTGATCTTACATGGTGCTGAATTCAGTACAAAAGATGCTGACAATGACAACTGCATGTGTAAATGTGCTCTCATGTTGACTGGAGGTGAGTACAACTCTGAAAATATGTGGTACATCGATAGGGATCAACTGTTTTCCTAAAGCAACCATGGATAAAGTTGTATTCATGGATGTGCAAGTTCTGAGTGAAAATTCCCTTTATTGTTATTACTTCTACTCTTTTCTATACATATATTGTGGTAGTGCCAATACCTCAAGATTCCTATCGGCAGAGAAGGGATTATTCAGAGATGCAATCAGAATATTTCTGCACTGAAGCTGTTGCAACAATGTCAAAGGGAAAGCATAAGTTCGTGTAACTGTTTAGGCAAGAAAGGAAAAATAAGAAAAAAGAAGCTAAGAGAGAAGGCATTTGCGAGAAGTGGGAGAATCAACCAGAAAAAGAAGAGAAAAAATACAGAGAATTAGATATTAGAAGGTAAAATTTAAAAACAATCGGCATCTAGGCTTGTAATATATTATCTATTTCACTTAGGGGTGGGATTCTGTTATTGAAATAATTATAATGTTTAAACTTTCTGTGTTATATGAGCATAATACATAAAGACACAGTTAATGTAGTGACTAATTCTCTCAGCTGTGAAAGACTAGACCTGCAACCATCTGTTTTAATCTGGAAGATTTAAACTGGTACCCTTAGGGAGCTGACTCAAACTGCAGAAGGAAAGAAATAGTCGAGGTGGAGAAGAGCACAGACAAGGTATACTGGGACAGTTTAAAGCGCCAACTCAATCTGACTACCAGAAAGTATACTGTATATGACTGATATTTGCTCCCTCTGGAGCAGAGGAGGAATATATGAGATTATCTCCCCATACTGACACCTAAAGCTTTAATCCAAGAGCGAGAACTTTCTCTGGAAAATTATACTTATTCCTAGTCCCTATATGGGCAAGCTCATTTCTATCTCTAGAATACCACATTGTAGCAGAAAGCTTAAATTGGGATTCTTTGGTTCATTGACTGTATGACCAAGAATGGCCCTGTCTTATCTTCACATCTGATCTTCTCTGGAGACTCTTAGTGATTTCTAACTTTCCTGGAAAAGATCCTATAGCATGTAAATGTTTCACTCTTTTGGATCTGATTGCTAAATCAGTATTATTTGTGGTTACTGGCACTCTGAATCCAGCTCAGGTCATATTCAGGCATATATGAGGCTCTAAAGCTATCATTTGCTAACAGAAGATGGTTTCCCATCACCGAGAATTTATATCAAATGCACAACCTAGCTCTTCATTCTCTTTTGCTAACTGGAAATGACCCAGTTGGGAAAATCTTTAAGGAGCCAATTTTTCAAATTTCCCTAACTTCCTCTAGTGATATCTTATGAAAAGTCATCTATCTGGGAAACTTCTTACCATATACAGGAGATCAGAAAGTACCTTTTTATTTCTATAAAAAAATAGAAGCTAATCAGATAGTTCGGGAGACAGACATTGGATAAGAGTGTCAACAGTTTATTTTAATTAAAACTGTTGGCCTTTCCCTTTAGAGTCCATGCTAAATCTGTGTGTTATTTCCAGGGCAGTCCAGAGCCTAGTGGGAAGCTCCTGAGTATGAGTTGTGTCTGTGCTGAAGTGCAGACTCATTCGTGTATCTAAGCTACCTGGAAATACCTCTTCTCCCAGACAGTTAATTCTGGGAGAAGAGTGGTTTGTTTATTTTCCTGCTCTGACTTCTATGGCAGGTCAATGCCCTGCTAAAGTCAGTCTGCTATTGAACAACCATTCCACAAGATTCACATATATTGCTGCAGCAGTCCAGTAAATCCACCAGAAAACCACATATTGGAATATATTGGTAACAAATGAATAAAGAAGAAGGGGAGAATTACCAAAGGCGGAGGAAACCACAAATATAGGAAATCACTGCAGAGTAAAAAGAGATGGAACTAACCTTTGGAGATAGATAAGTCTACTCTTGTGAACAAGACTGAATACTAGTCCCTTGGAGGCAGGCTGTACAGCACTGAGTACTTTGTAGTTTTTCAAGAAGAGAAAGACTTTAATCAAGTTAGAGTTCCCCTCAAACACTCTGCTGTGCTTTGCTCCTTGAAATGACTTTCTCATTCCTTAAGGAACATCAGAAATTGAATTAAATACCAAAACATTTTTTTAGTGAGTATATTTCAGTTTTGTACCAGACAAAGACTAATTAATAAAAGTAGCAATGATAAGAGGGTTTTTTTTCCCCAAAAAATATCAGACTCTGTTAGTTTTGGCAACATCACAAAGAGCTCTTTGATGATGAATGATATGAAATCTGCAGGCAGGTTTCTAGCTATCTTGACAGTTTGGGTGAGCCTGTTATCTCTATGAGGTGAACAGAATATATTTATGTCAGGAATAAAGGCTGAGATAAGCTGAAGCTCAAGACTGTGATACGCTTATAATCAAGGCTGAAAATAAAATGTAAGGAAAACACATATTTCTCTCTGTCATCTTGCTAGTTGTCAGTTTTATTTGGTCTATATCATAACTATTATTCTATCTCCTCCTTTATCTCCTCCTTCTTCCCCAGAATGAGGAATTAAATACTGGGAGAATAATACAGAAGCACCAACAGTGTTTTGTGTGTGTGTCTTTCTTGTCCTTTCAAGACCCTTATTATGCTACCTGAATTTCTCTTAATGTTGATTTTAGGGAATGGCTTCAAAAGTACATGCACAAGCTGGATTCTTAGTCTCTGTAAACTTTCAAGGTATTTAAATGTTTTAGCTGGTTTTTTGTCCCTTTGAAAATTTAAACTAAGCATGTTTGTTTTACTTTAAAGACAAATTACATTTATTAAAATAATTTCTTCAGTGGTTTAATATCTCAGGCCGGTAAACTGAGCACAGTGTTATATATTTATATCTGCGTATAATTTCAAGCCTTACTTGAAGAGTACCCCAGAGTACCCATGGCTTTTTGCAAGAAACAGCTTTAAAAATGCAACAGACTGTCACCAGAATGGAGCAATGAGTGGATGTCCAAAGTGCTTCATATAGATTTCCATTACAACACAACATTTGACATCTCAGGATCAGATTCATGGGCCAAGTTCCTGTCTAACTGCTCACCAGTCAGCTGAGCCCCAAACTGTTTGTGCAATTGCTTTCAATCACTGGAAAGTGGCTTACAGTAACTTGGCTCACAGCAAAAGAGTTTTAAGGTGGTTTTCCTTGTTTGGCATTGGCTGCAGTCTGAGATGTTCATACAGGTGTTTTACCTTGCTTCAGGTGAGAAGCTAAACTTCTGATCCCGAAAATAGTTTGACAAAAAGACAGGGAGACTTTCTAGATATCTTGCCAGGTTTGAAGTAGCATAGAATTACTGAAATAAACGGTTTATTTGTTGGGGTTTTTTTATTTTGCTGAAAGCAGAGGTCCATCCAACTTCAGTCTCCTGTCTCTGAAAGCAGTCAGTACAGCCCTAAGAAAAATGTAGATAAATTAAACCTCCCTTGAGTATTTTCCCAGTATCTTTTGAATCTCAGGGGCTTCCTGAGCCAGAGGCTCCCATGTATTTATTAAACCTCAGTGGATTTTCCAATGGATTTCTCATCTATTAAGTCGGACTGGTAGTCTTGACAATCCAATACTCTGAGGAGTACATAGGCCTAGAAATTACTTCCAGAGATCATTTAGTCCCTTTCTAAGACAGATTCTTCTCTATCTGTTTTTTTCCATCTTTCTGTTCACCCTCAAGATTTCTAGTTTTATTCATTCTCATAATAAAATCTGTTACTGAGCTTGTCTACACAATATAAGAAAGCTTTTTATGTTGACTAACTGACTCTATGATGATTTAAATGTTTTCCATCTTGTTCTACCCTCCATCATTAGAAAGCATAGACCATTTCTTTGCATTCCTTTGAAAGGTTTTTGTATTAATTTGAGATTGTTGGCAATCTGTCTTCTGAATTCTGAACTAAACAACCCTAAATCTTTCCTCTTACATTCACTCTTTTGGAGCTTGTCCCGTGGCTCCACAAATAGCTTGAGGTGTCATCCAAAACTTCACCCAGTCTTCTAGCTGAGAAGTTATCAATGCAAAGTCAAGCAGATCCTTAGTATTATCAACTAAATTCTTTAAAGTATAGAATGTCAGAAACATTGAAATCTTTCCTAAAATAAGTTATGTCTTTTGATCATTGAGGACTATTTAGATGTTTTTGCATTAGAAATTGTTCTTATTGGCTTTGTTGCCAAATGTACTAAATTTTATGGACAAACCCAAGGGCTACAAATAAATATTGGCTTTTCATAGGATCCATTTATCCCATAAACCCATATAAATTTACCATTCAAACACACTTGGGTCTTATTGAATGACCTGTATTGATCTTACTGCATTTGGAGATATTCAGAGTACTCACGAGGGAGAACAGAGACGTATGTGAGGAAAGGGTCTGCCATCAAATGTGCAGTGTTTGGACACCTATTCTTTTACTATATAAAAGACAATTAAGAACCTCCCATCAAACCTGAACGATCATTACCCTGTTCCCAGGATTTACAGCATATTCGTTTCACGTAATTGATGAGCATTAGGTTCCTAACAAAGAATTTTACATGCATACATGCTTAATTACAATTTACACAACAAGCCAAAACAGCAAAGCTGTTAGCTTTGGCATCCAAAAGCCTTTTTTGTGTTGCTTTTGACAAAGAAGATTCTATCATGCAAAAGTTATACTTACCACTTCAGAAAGCAAATATAAGAGAGCAATGCTTCTTTATTAGGTATTTTTTGGAAGAATTTGTGGAAATTATTTCAATATACATTCATATTCATCCAAAGATATAGTACAAGCAGATTAGTGGAGCTCAACTACCTGGCATAGGTGGCTTAAGAATTCAAAATATATTTGTTTAATGAAAAGGCCTGACGTGTAATTTAACAATACCTATTGGTAATAGCAATACTAATTAAAGACCAAACCATAAGTGTCCACAAGGAGTGAACACAGTGTAACTGCTCCAGAAAAGCAACTGTCTACTGTGAGGATTCCTGTTTATTTGTATAGCTGAATTTTCAAACAACTTATCAATGTATATCAATGTATTATCAATGTATAATTGAACTTATATTTTGTCTGGACAATATATTCTATGACCTAGGGATTCTTATTGCAAACAGAGATAGTAGTGCTGCTGTTACTACATAAATTATTAGAGGTGGGCTAATCTAAAAAAAATGAACTGACCCTCAGTTCAAATAAGCAATTAGTGACTTTGTAATCACAACTTGAAGAAACTACCTCTGTTTCTGAATAAAAACTCTCTTAACTTTCCCATGAAAGCCTTCTCTTTACTACTTCATTAGTCACTTTAAAATCTTGTTTCTATTATTATTTCTTATAATGCCCACTTTTCATGATTCTCATGCCTGATTAAAATATCCTACGGAAATTATTGTCAAAAGTTATGTTCCAGGTTAAAATCTTACTGCTATTCAGAGAAGACTTTATACTTATTTGGGAAAGCCATTACCTTGTAGTGAAAAATAGGATTCTTCATGTGAGGAAAATCCTGTGAACTCTAGGGAATAAGCCAACATCTAGTTACTGAGTGTCTTTTCTTGGGTCAAACTGTCACTGCTCTGGAGCTTCTTCATTTGGTGTGTTCTGCAGTGGCAGTGGTGCAGGTATCTCTTTCAGAAACCTCTGTTTTCTGTTCCCCCACTTCCTCATAGTTACCAAGAAAGTCACTGCTTCCATTCTTCTTTCCCTTAATATACAAAGCATGTGAAAAAAACATTTCCTGTGCACCCATTCACAGATTTCATAAAATATTCTGAGTTGGAAGGGACCCACAAGGATCATCAAGTCCAACTCTTAAGTGAATGGTCCATATGGGTATCGAAACCACTACCTTGGTGTTATTAGCACCATTTTCTAACCAACTGGGCATCCTTTCAAAGGTATTGATTTGGTGTTGAGACATGCAGTGGGAAGTCTTGTGATAATATGAGGCCTTATGGGGAAAGAAGACCCATCAGAGGATGCAAGGGAGCATGGAGAGACATAACCATATGGAGAAAAAAAAAACACAACAGAAAACAAAACAAAAAACCCACCTCATTTATAAAAAAAAGATAGAAAACTTTTAATGTAATACTAGGAAACATCTTTAAAAAATTGATACGTTCTCACTAACAAGAAGAGTATAGTAGGAAAAAAACATGCTCATTCAAACACACTTTGAAAGAAGTGTTTATTTAGAAGATATCTGTGATGAGAGATTTGTGCAAGTCTCCACAAATGTTTTGTAAAATTATGTGTTTCTTCAGCACATTCAAATTTTTTACATAGATTTTGTAAGGCATCACTAAAACCTTCAAAAAGTCCATTTATGGAGCTATTCCTGTTCCTTTAGGATGAAATGGTAACTAACTCAGCTTGTCATCTCTTCATCCCAACACTGTAAACAGAACCCAGGTGCATCTGGGTTCCAGCTTTGAGAAATGAGGGTTAGAATTTCTCTGTTTAACTTCATCTTAAGTTTCTATAAGATTATACTATGGTTACAGTAAAATATCAGCTGTACAGCTTTCCCTTTCTTTGGTTATTGCCCCCATAAGTATAACATGGCAACCAAAGGAAGGTCAGCTGTACCAAAACAGAACATTGTCAGAATTTATCTGGTATAGATTCTTCCCTAAAGATTTCCTTATGAAGTGCTACTTCTGAAAAGAAGAAAACACTAGGTATTATCCAAACTCTAGGGAAATACAGGACTAGAAACATAAATTACATGGATCTGAATAAAAATGACAGAGTAAACACTGGACCCAAAGGCTAAACATCGTCAATATTATATCTGTAATAATAAGCCATAGTTTAAAATACCTTCATATAGTGCATTCATTATAGGTAGATAAAAGGTTAACCACCGAGGGAATCAGATGATTACCTAGGACTGTGCACATTGTCTAAAAGGAGTTTCTCACAGTTTAATTCCATTTCCAGCAGTCAGAGTGGGAAACACACTGAAAATTTAAAATTCTCCTTTTGATTCCACAGTGACAGCTGCAGAATTAAGTAGGCATTCATTAGATGATCACTTTGTCACTACCAGCGTTGTTTGAAAATTATTTACAAAGGGTTCTGAGAAGATTACAATGCTGTGATGTGCAGGCTAAAATAACTTTTTTTAAATTAAATGGCATTTAACTACCAAAAGCAAAAGTCACCACCTGATGTTTAGGCTCTTATTTGTCTCTATACATGACACAAATGTTCAGTACAACCATATTACATGGAAAGACGCATAAAACCTGTGCTAAAGATTCAAAAAACCAAAGATCTTACATGAAAAAAAAAAAACAAACAGAAATCTTTCTGACAAATAGAACTCTTAGCCACTGAGGTTAATACATTTTTGACTTTGGGAATATTAGCTCTTTGCAGTCTGGGAATTCATTATGCCTTTCTCAGTCTAAACTAAGCATCTTCCTTTTACATTACATAGATACTCTGAAAGGTGTGGGAGAGAAAATTCTATTCCCAACAAGATATCCAGCAAAACTCCCACTACTTTCAGTGGAGTCAGCATGTCACCTAGTTTGTCTTTGTCAGTTTGTGTTCTCTAATCTTGATGTTGCCAAGTTTCATGTTGTTTGGAGTTTTTCTTAAAACTCTAGCTCCCATGGCAATCTAAAATTCACCTTAACAAGGAAAGATCTTGGAGAGAGAGATGAGAAAGTTCACTGACTAATTTCATCTTAAAGCAACAGTTTAAAAAAGATCTGAAGATTCACACTTCTTTTCACCACTGACTTCTTTTTCTCAGCTGGTTAAAAACACACATGTGTGTTTTCACCTGCACTTCTAGCAAGTTTAAATTTTCTACATTCAGTCACACAAATGTTCCAGAGCTGTTACACTTCTTTTTTATCCTAACTTCTCAGTTTACTACTCCTTCAGTTATGCCCATTCAACTGTTCACAGGGTCATTTTGTAAACCAGATTGCTGGTTTGCCCTCCCAAAGCAAGGTTCTGGGTTTTTTTCTAAATGTCTCACTTCACTTTTCAGAACAGTCTTGCATTGTAGCTGCTGGAGCAGTGAACTAGAATCACAAACATCTGGGCAAGACATTTCTTGCCCTGTCTTTCCAGTGTAATAAAATATATGCAATTTCACAGAATTCAATGGCTTAATGTGTAGGAAGCTGCATCTTGCTGGGAAATAGCAGGTAGGGTAGGGGGGTAGAAAAGGCAGTTAGCAATTTTCTAAGCCTAACTTTGATATAAATCAGTAACAGTTTTAATATATTTTGTCATCAGTGTTAGTCGAGTAGCTAGGAATTTTCATCTATCTGTAGACACCTAAATAAGGAGCGTTTGGCACTTTTCAAGATCAAGATTAGAAGGCTCAAGATTTAATATAAGTTTTCACATTCAAAATCATAAGACTAAGAATTGAATGTCATTGTCCTGTCACAAACTGTACATGTGATGAATATACCTTGATTGAAGTGGGCCACACTCTCACCTAAATGCACGCACACTCAGAAAATCAGATATATCATCTACCCCTGCACGCTGTTATTCTGACTGTCAGCATCCTACAGTGTTGTAATTATCTTCTTTACTCAGTCCTTCCATTCTTTTGCTGTCTTGTTCATAAATTTGTCGCAGTCTTAAAGAAAGTATCTACCTCTCTCCTTGTACACAATTTTAAATGCTGATTATCTATTACGACAACATTGTAGTTACTATGGCAGGGAAGCACCACTATTTTCACAATCCAGTTACTAAAAAGATCTAACCTGGGAGCAAAAACAACTGAGCAGTTGAACAATCACAGTTAAAGCAACAGAAAAGGACCGCTAAATAAAATTAAATCATGCTTGTATTCAAAATAACATAACAATGTGAAATTATGCAAAAAAAATTTTGAATTATAGTCTTTTTCTGAGGTTTAAATGAAAACTGCAATACTGTTTAAATATGCAAAGCAGTTTATTTGTATTTGATGTTCTTGCTTTGGCTTCACATATTGCATATAAAACTAGAATGAGTTGGGATGTAATTACTTCTGCAATTCTGTAAATACGAGTGTGCTTTCTTCAGCACTGCTGACTACAGAATAGCACAAAAAAGCAAAAAAGGAAAATATGAAAATAGTACACATACCACACTAGGACTATTTATGAGCTATTTACCAGAATTTGATAATTAGCTAAACCTATTAAAAAAATACTTAGTGCAGTTGCAGTTTAATTTTTATTAATGATTTCAGGGTGGTGGTTTGATGCCTGTGGCCCCTCCAATCTCAATGGGATGTTCTACACAGCTGGACAAAACCATGGAAAGCTCAATGGCATCAAGTGGCATTACTTCAAAGGCCCCAGCTACTCCTTGCGCTCCACCACCATGATGATTCGGCCCTTGGACTTCTAAAGGCATTAAACAGTGGGTCCCAGAACAAGCCAGGATGGCACTGCCCTCAGCAGCAACACTTCACAATCTGAAGGCAAAAGTGAAGGGCTTCTTGAAAGCAATGTGTAAGGATGATGCAAAGTCACTTTGTTATTACTCCATAACCTGCAAATACTCCCCAAGAGTCACCCCATGTTTTGATGACTGGGGAAGGATTGGTTTAGAAGAAGATGGCTGAAATGGTTTTCCAAAGAACTGGATTTGGCTATTCTTCCTAAACTTGGTGCTTTTCAGTGGACGTATTTTTTTTTAATTAAATCAACAACAGCATCAGAATTTGAAGAACTGAAGCATATCAGCCATGGTCTATTGAGTAGAATGTTATTCAGCAGTGAAATGCCAACATTACACCCACGAAAAAGGATTACAGAGACACCTTTATTAAAACTCATTGTAAGCATTCAAGGTGACCACTCCGAATATTGTTTTTCTTAAATGAACTGAATTTGAATAGTGGATGGATTTATGTTAATCCTAGAGTCAAATTATTTGTGTGAATATTGTTTTTCATTAAATCCTTTAAGGACATGTGTCTCATAAATAAACTGAGTCAAACTTATGAATAACGATAAGGATAATAAGCATAAATTCTTCAGTTGCTCTGTAGAGGTAAATCAGATAATTGGCATTATCCCTGAGCTAGGATTTATAGTGTGATAACAAAAGTAGCTGTGTTTTGAGGCTTTTCCTTTCTTTCATTCAAAGCAGTCTGAATGTCATGTAGAATAATTAATGGAAGGTTAAAGAATGTGAAATATTATCTTAAAGAAAATATGGGATTTTGCATGGAATTTGTCCATCAAAAGTACATAGGAAGGCAAATAGTTAGGGTATATAAAAATTACATAAATGCATAGCTTAAGGCAGTGGATTCATTTTACCATATCCTTGCATGTGCGCATTTTATCCTTAATTACTTTACTTTCTTATTACATTTTTGGTGAATATCAGAAGCATGTCAGTTCTACACAGTGCTTAGGCTACAAATATAAAAAATGCTCATCAGAACTGTATAAAAAATAAAGAATTGTGAACTTGTAAATAGCATGTTTATATTTCCTGTAACAGTCATTTAATTTGCACAGGCAGCCTTGACCCTATGCAAAGGGTGAAAACCCTCAAATGGATATAAATATTAAAAGAATTTCAGATGACTGCTTATGGGTTGCTAACAAGTAATTTTCTTCTATTAAAATGGTGCAGAAGTGTGGGATTGGAAAAGACAAAATTCTTTTAATAACAAGTAACAAAGTAGCTCAGTCACCTATGTGAGGGTATAAAGACAACTCTATTTACAGTCCTTTGTGATTTAGTCACAGAATAAAGTCCATTTGGGAAAGCAGCTTGCAGTCATTCTTCTTCTGCTAGATATGAAATTAAAAAGTTTACCGCATTCCCATTGAAATCAAAATTAATATTCTCATCAACATAATTGGGACCAACGTGACATGCAAAATCTGCATGTGGTGAGGTATTTCCTCATCAGTTTGTTGCTTTGTTTCATTCAGTACACTGTTTCCAAAATCAGGCACAACAAAGATCTGATTCTTTTTTAAAGGATCACAATAGCAGAGTAACTGTGCTTTTTTTTTTCCTTATTTTTTCACCTTTTTTTTTCTTTAGTAGTTTATTTCTATGGAATAGAGAAAAAAAAACTTGGATTTTTTTAAGCATCCCTTCTTAAAGATCACAAAGCCCCACAGGGTTCTCTGTTTTTTTTTACAATTTGATGTTTGTTTGGTTTCAAGTGGGAAGTTTTCTTGTGTAGTTGTATATATTTATATATATATTTGAAATAATCTTGACTAAGAGTTAATTTGAAATTTTCTGCTGAATAAGTTACCAAACTACTCTTCACTCAGCACTTTCTCACAGAGCTGTTTTGTTCCAGTTCCCAGTAGTATTTTTTTTTAATGGTCTTCATTTATATGCAAAATATGTGGTCTGTCTTCCACCATATTCTCAGAAGATACATTTTTGCAGGTCTCCAAGTTAAGAATGCCATTTTTACAGATCCTATTGTGAAAGACAAAACACATTTAAAATTAAAAGCATGATATTTACTGTTTATTTATCTGGGTTTGAAAAAAATGTGGATTTTGTTTCCTATCCTTTATAATAAAACATTTTAAAACATGTGGAGTCTGTGATTTGCTTTGCTTCAAGTACAACTTTCTGTTACAGGCTGGTAACACTTTAAAAGCCACCATCACTCCTCGTAAGAAATATTAATAAATTTAGATAAAGCTTAGAAAAGGAGGAACTCTAATTAGAGTTTGTCCAGTGATTACTATTTCTAACCTTTCAAATACATATTTCAGTATTTTCTATTCAATTTCCTTGATAAAATCATGCGACTATATTTCTTCAGTTCAAATCATACAACTCTCTATCAAACTTAAAAATAAAAGATTTCTTTAATTCCACAGGCAAAGATACAAACTGAAGTGTGATGTTTTCCTTGTCTTATGAAGTGTTCTTCTATCATCCATTCAATCATTGCATGGCAGTGACAAATCTCCTGTGATCTCTTACCAAGAAATGCCTCTTGCTCCATTTGTATGCCTACAGTGATCAATTTTAACATCTCTTTGTAGTCAATTTATTCTCATTTTCTCAGGAATTTTTGCCATAATTGGACTTGTTTGTTCAGAGCAACCTGGTTTTTCAAATCAACACTGAAGTTGTAAGGAACTACATACATAAAAGCACATTTTGCTCCTTAAGTTGAATGTATATGTACTGCATGATTTGAAGAGTTGCAATTCATTAACATGGTCTTTCTGGAGTTGTTTTATATTACAGTGTTATATATATACATTATATTAAAATGTTGCTTGCCTTGAAAGATACTAAAATTTCAATGGTCAGTGAAAATAGTAACTTTACCCTTCACAGATAATTTGTTCCTGGTTCATAAAACAAGAATACACAAAATTTTTACAAAGCAATAGATGTGTTTTCCATAGGATATAGATCCTTAATTTTTATTCTCTTCTGAGGCTGGAGATGTAATTTAAATGTACATTTTTCTAAGTGCCCTAACATCCAGTACTGGCCTGTTAAGTAGGTAAGTCATCTACATTTATAGTCATCTGTAAAACAGGTTCACAAGACACCATTCTTTAAAAAACTCTTCCAACTATAATAACAACTTTCTTCTCTGCAGACCTGCAGCTCAAACCACAGTTCTGACCATGCCTCAAATAACCTCGTTTGGGATTGGCACAGCATCCACTTCTCCTTTGTGGAGAAAAAAACTGAAACAGCAATCACAACAAGAGCTTAACTCTCTGGGTAGGATCAAGCACAGTTTGCAACCATTCTGTGCTACAGTTGTGCCAAAAGGCATTCCCACCTACCAGCTTTTACAACAGCTGGACAGCTTGTAATCCCTGAATACAGCTGCTGCTGCTGCTGTTGCCTGACTCGGACCTCTGGTGTGTACACAGATACAAATACATACACAAATCCATATGTCTGAAGAAAACTTGACACACTCAATCAAAATGACCTCTCCTAAATTTTTTCTAAAGGACCTGTAATCTCAGGTCGAGCAAAAAAAAAATCCAAAAAGCACCAAAAATGAAACTAATTAAAAGTGCAAATGCCAAGGAGCAAGAGCAGGCAGGAGAAAAGACAGGGATATGGAACTGTAATGTGGAGAGGGGAAAGACAGACAGGGAGGAGTTGAAAGGAGGGAATTACCTGTGAGACATAGCAGTTTCATATTTACGGTGCCACAACTGTCGCACAGTGTGGGAACTCCCTTCTCCTCTAGGATTGTCCAAACCCCCTCATGTGAGCAGAAATCTGTGGGTATTATTTGCTTTTGTACACTTTGAGGGTTTTTTTTTTCTCTGTGGTTTTAAAATTTTTACACAGGGAGAAATTTAATGTGGATCTTTGAAAAGACATGCTTATGGTTATATCAAGTTAGCTGTGGAGCAAGTCCTGTAAAAATGGAAAAGTTCCTCTAGAAAATTCTGCATTCTGTTGTGTGAATTTTAAGTACTGATGATGAAATAGAACCTATGCCCATCCAAAATCTTGTGAAATTAGAGCCTTCATTCTTCCACTAGCTATAACTTCTATTTTAATCAGACCTTATTCTCCATATAAATGGTCTGTGTAGTTTTCTGAACCAGGGGGTTCAATTAGAGAACACTAAAGAATGGTTATATACTCTAAATATGACCCCCAAATGATATATTAAAGTACATGAAGGCCTAGACACCAGTTCTGTGTTTCGGTAGAAAGAATCTTGAATCCTGAAGTGTTACTATAAATTTCCTTTCTCTCATTATGCTTCTCACCTTTCTCTCACTTTAATAGTGCCCCTGTTCCTCCTTTTAGACTGCTGGCAGTGTTTGCCTTCTGCTGCCTGGAAGTAGTCACAGGAGGCAAGCACCACATTTAACAGAAGGTCTGCAGATATTTTTGTTCACAACAACAGCATCACCTCTGGGAAGAGCAAAGTCAGTCCCCCACCAAACCATGGGGAAGGAACGTTTCTTGCCATTTGCTCTGCAAGACCATGGACAGAAAAACAGGCCCATAGGCACACAGAGGACCTTCCTTCAACTTAAACAGGAAGTGGTGCTTTGCCAGGTCAACCCTAAAAGGACCCCAGAAGAGTAACTCATAGGCAGCTTCTCCAGCACAGGAGGAAACAGAGGGGAAAAAAACTGAAAGGAAAGCAAAGGAAAAACGAAGATTCTTGTTACACTGAAATGGGTTGAGGAAGAGTGAGGAAATGGGTGTTATAGAATAAGACAGCTAAGAATGCAAAGGAATTAGATAAGGAAGCTGAAGGCAAAGTGGGCAAAAGAAGACGGACAGACTGACAAAGAGAATATGGAGAAATGACAAAGATGAAAGCACTGAAAAAGAAGTAAAATGAAGAACAATTTGGCAGAAGAATCTGCTAACATATTTATTAGAGGATAATTAGTATCCAATTAATTTTCCAAAGCCTAAAAGAATTAGCATCGCCCTTTTACTTTCTGCTTTTATTTATTATTTACAGTGTAAAAGAAGTACATTGACATCTGGTAAAATAAAGCAATACTTTAAAAGCAGTCCCTTCTTAGAGGAATTTTTGGTAGCATTCAGCTTGAGAAACAGTTCATGCTTTTAGCATGAGACACAAATCCATCAATAGATAAATCAGCATTGGATAATGTTTACTCTTCTATTAAAAGATGTGCATCTTCATCCTTTTGCAGCCCTCTCATGCTTATATTTAGAATCATTGTCTGCCTGAAAGGAAATTACACATCTCAGACCTGAACTCATTTAGCTGCATTGTTGAATCACTGGTTTGTTTTCTTCTGAGTAACAGAGCAGAACTCCTGAATATATGTTTTACTCTTCTTTTGAAACAAATTTTTCTTTCTTTTTTTTTTCTTTTTTTTTTTCCTTTCTTTCTTTGATTTAAACACCTCTGGTTTGGATTTCATCTTTCATCCACCACAGATGATTATTTAATCTCTTTTTGATAGCTTCACATAGCACTTTTTGTTCTGTAAAACCCCCAGACAAAGTTCTCCTGAACTAATGCCGTGGTTCTTGTCACCACTTTCTGCTCTGCTTTCACGTGGAGTATCACACTGCCAGGCACCAACACTGTCCTTTTTGAGGGGTTTCATTCAGTCCATTCAGGAAATCTGGAACTCCTTGGAGTAACATCAGTGCAGGTCCTGATTCCCAAAAATTCTGGCCCATCCATGTGTCCCGACCAGCAGCTGCCAAAATCTTTCTAGCTGCAAGTCACATCAGGGCTATCTGTACCAAGTACTGGTGGTGTCATCAAGCCCCCATGTTCCCCTCCTTATTTCTTCTGGAATAGTTCCCTGTCCAAGAGGGAGAGAAGCATGGCCCAGCAGTTTCTCACGGGGTGACGTCTCTGCTCACTTACCTCTAGTGCACACTCTGGAGTTAAGGGGCTGAACTTTTTAGACTGCTTGGTCACAAGAAAAAGATGATATAAATACATGTCAATATTTTTTGAGAAGTACAGACACATTAGCCAAAGGTTTTTCCACTAATTGATTCTGTCTATTAGATTAAGAAACCAATGCCAATTTTGCTACAGGAGCAGAGAGAGAGTTGTCTAAACATGTAGGTGGAGTTGTGTCTAGTGTCCCTTTCTTTTAGCATGTTACAAAATCTTTGGCACTCGTTTGGAGTTTTCAAGGCTTTGGGAAAAAATTACAAATACATCAGACTTTGTTTTGCAAAAATAAGTTTATAAGCAAGAGCAGTTTTACTCATAACAGTGTAAAATGCAGAGACAGAGAACTTACATCTGTAACTGTGACTACGGGTTTATGAATAGAGATTTAAGCAGGAGCCAACATCTCTCTCACTGCTTCTTTTTCGTTGTGTGGCTTGTGCAAATTCACTTGACACCAGCAACTCCTGAATCTCCTTTCCAGCCACTGAGAGCTACCCCACAGCCTAGAGACTAGATTAGAAAAACTGCCTCAGTTTGGTCTAATCTAAAATAGATTAAATGCATATCAACAGATAATGCTAGAAATTGAAGAGATTTATAAGGTGACTAATCTGTTCAGGTTGAGATATTACACATGTCAGTACTCAGAGAGAAAAAAAACCAAAAATGTTTATATTTTCATTGCAAATAGGTATAATATATAATGGCTACAGTTTAAGTAGCCATTGGATGTGTGGAGAAAACAATAAAGAACGTTTATCCTAGAGCAAAGCAAGCTATCCTGACAGCTCACTCGGAGGTGCAGAGAAGCCCTTATTCCCGACGTTTCTGCTGTCTGCTGCCACCTGTGGTTCAAAGGGAAGCTTTTCCAAAGATGAACTCGTCGGTAGAATCAACTAAACATGCAATGACAGATCTGAGAAAAGGAAATTGAAGAGACTAATAAAAATGGTCAGGATGTCCAGCATAGATGGTCAAAACGACATCTGTATTTAGGTACATGCTTTCAGTTTTAAAAGTACCAAACTCCCACTGACTTCAGTTTATCCAAAATGGATCAAAAATACATTGGTTTTATAGCAGTTTAGATCTTTCCTGGGGAAAACAATTATATTTACAGAGTTAAAAGTTGCTAACAAAACCACAGGTGATGGAGAAAGGGGAACCACACAAAACCACTCTAAAAATTCATGTTGTATTTACTACGTTTTGACTATACCAGAGATAT